AATTTGCTGAGTAAATTCCTAATCCGGTAATACAAGCCCCACATATCTATAAAAATGGACATCCATATAAATTAAATCAAATAAAAATAGAAATAATAATAATAATAATGAGCCATGGTTTTGGCTCAGGTCCCATTCAAATCCCAACAACGTACGTGCGTAAGTTAAAAGTTTTATTATATTTATTACTAAAATTATTATTGATCTTAAAAATATGCATCTAACAAATATTTTAATAAATGTCTCTGTCAAATTATGAGCAAGTAAAATTTTATTATATTTGTTTTTGATTATTGGTGACCTTTAAATATGCATATAAATATCTTGACAAATGCATCTGCCGAATTATTAGCGCGTAAGTATAAGCCTTATTGTAATTATTTTTTTAAATTATTTGTGATCTTAAAATATGCATCTGACAAATATTTTAACAAATGCCTGTCAAATTATTAGCGCGTAAGTATAAATTTATTCTATTTATTTTTTAATATATTGGTGATTTTAAAATATGTATCTGACAAATGTTTTAACAAATACTTTTGTCAAATTATTAGCATTTATTTTTAAAATTATTATTGATGATCTTAAAATATACATCTAATAAATATTTTAACAAATGGCTTTGTCTATGCATCTGACAAATATGTATTTTAACAAATGCCTCTGTCAAATTATTAGAATGTAAGTATAAGCTTTATTATAATTATTATTTAAATTATTTGTGATCTTAAAATATTCATCTGACAGACATTTTAACAAATACCTTTGTCAAATTATTAGGACGTAAATAAAAGCTTTATTATATTTATTTCTTAAATTATTGGTAACCTTAAAATATGCATCTGACAAATATTTTAACAATGCCTCTTTCAAATTATTAGAATCTAAGTGTAAGCTTTATTACATTTATTTTTAAAATTATTGTCGCGACTGATGCTAAATTTGATTGATTCTGAATTTTAGGGTCCCCATTTAAGTCTACAATACCTACTAAACTTCGCATATACTCTTTTACTAACAACATAAACCCTAAACACAAAAAAAAAAATAAAACCCTAACAAAAATTTTAAAATTTCATAATAAAATAGGTCAAAAATTTTTGTAATAACAAAGGTAACGTTAAAGATGACTTAAAGAACTAAGAAAAATTTTCCTTACGAAAATACAAATAAGTTATTTAAAGAAATTTTAACGAATAAATAAATCTTATAGAATACAATTAAATTTTTTTTTTTTTATCATATAAATTCATGTTTTGTTGTGTAATTATCAGCGTCATGCAATTCTGATTTAATGTTAAAGAATTTGAATTAGTATATCAGATAAATAAATATATATTTTTTTATTTTATTTTCTTTAATGTTATACGCAAATAAAGATATAAATAATAATAACTAAAGGTGCAGTGCAAAGGAAAGTCGTTTTATAACATAGGTCATTATAATTATCGATATTGTTGATATTAAAAGAAATCGATTTGCTTGGTCATCGGAACCATCACATGATCATCCGGAGCACAACCTTGTACACATTTTCGGTATGCAAAATTAAGAGAAATTCTTAATACTTTAAGTCAATTTCTTCCAGGAAAATGATTTGCGTTGTGAGGGACGCACGGAACCCGCTCCTCCAAAAGTTTTCTTTTTTTTTCTTGAATTTAATGCCCTTTATACGTTGTGAGACAAGAAACGTGACCTGACTGCATGCATCTGGCCACGTGACCTCAGGAAATCCAAATTCCAAATGCCAGATGTGTTGAATATTAATATAACTAGTCTCTAACCCGGTGCGTAGCACTGGGCTTTAACGTTATTAAATAAAAAATTTAATAAAATAAATATTTTTAAGTTTATTTAATAACTTTAATATTTTTTAATTCGTAATTCGTGTAACAATAGGACAAATTAATTAGATTCTAAATATGATAATCGGGGTTATTAAAACATATGAAATACCAAGTCAAGTTTGAATCTTCTTTTACTTACATTTAAAATAATGACAAAACGCAAAAATTACAAAACAACACTTATTTCTATTGGAAAAATAATATCAGAAATATATTATGGAGTCTTTTCTCATGAATGGTGAATTGCAATTGAAAAAGATTCAAATAATCAAGCAACAATGCTTTGTCCGATAAGAATAGGCATGAAAACACTTGTAGAACATAATAGGCATGAGTTTTTTATTAATGTTTTAGAACCAAATATAGAAGATTCTCCAAGTCCAACATATCAAGCATCTTGCAGCTTAGTATATAGTGAAATATATATGTCTTCTTCAACTGCTATAACTTCATTATATCAGCAATTATTTGGTACAAAAACAAAATTTTCTGGACCACTTGTTATGGGATTTAATCAATCGGATATTGTGAAACAATTATTAGAAGATATTACCTTTCAACCTTTTGAGTTTTATTTAGATCAATTATGAATAATAGTTTTTGAAATTGGTGTATCAAAAAATCAAGATTGGAACTATGCTGGAACCGGATACCAATTATCATTTGTTAATAATATTAGAAAAAAATATTTTTTATATGTTCAAAGTTTTATTGCTAACAAATGTAATGTTACAATTTATGAAGAAAGCAAAATTAAAACTATCGTAAATGGGATAACACCAACAGATGTTTGGTCAAAAATAGATCATAAGCCCAAATTTGATGCTGATGAATTGTTTGGTACTAATAATTCATATGTACAAAAATTAATAAATGATTTATGAGCCACATCATGTACATTAGAAGAATGGAATAATGAAATTTTACTAGAACAAATTTTTTGATACTATTTAAAGAAACGAACAAAATCAGATATCAATTAGATGAAATTTATTCAGAATAGGAAAGATCAAGAAAGTAAAATCATTGAATTGCGAACTTCTTTAGCACAATTATATGGACCTAAATATCAAATAAATTCATGAGAATTTTGTGCTTGGAAATCAATGCTTTGGCATATAGGTTGTACAGAAATTACGCCCTACATCTAAGACCAATCTGAGGTGAGTTGAATAAAAAATAAATAAAAATACAAAAATATATGCGGTAGTTAGCATTTAGGGTTTATTTTATTAAAATTTCATATTTTGTTATAACTCATTACATCATAAGAGTTCAAAATAAAAACTTGAAATCTTAGTTTGCTCCATGAGATATAAACTAAATCTATCCTATAACATAAAATCAAATATAAGCTTAATATTCATAAAATATGCATGAGTGCTGCCAAGAGAAATAAGACTTCTTGCTTACTTTTAGAAAGCCAAATCTGATATATAGTAAATAATAAACTTGAAAGCCCGAAGTTTCATTTTCTTCTAGCAACAATGTATAGATCAAAAAAACTAACCACATACTTCAAAGCGACTGAGATTTTCAAGCTTTTGTTTTTTTTTTTTTTTGAAATTCCATCTATATTGCCAAAAAAAAAAAATAGATTTATTTTAAAAATTCAAAACTCGATATATTATAGATAAACAATTTACTTGGTATATTTTGTAATTAAAATGTGAAACATAAAAAAATATAAACTTGCAAATTCCAAATCGCTCTTGATTTAAATACAGTAAAATCAAATGTTAATGTAAATATTTCGACTAAACATTTACTTATACTATCATTTTTGAATTCTGGACAAGATCAACAAATTCAAATAAAGATCGTAAAACATTACAAACTTTGTATAATCTTGGTTTTCTTTGTTCAACACCAACAAAATTTCGTAATGAAACAAAAATTTTTTGAAACTGTTTTCAAGAATCATTAGATGCAAATAAAAAGGGTCCAAATGGCAAAAAACGTGTTTTGTCTATTATCGCAGATAAATTTTTATATAATGAAATTAAGAGAAATTTGAATATTAGTATTAGTTTTTACTCATAATTCAAGTACAGTAGTGGCAGAAAATTATAACACTCATGTGATGTGGCGCAGCTTAACGAAATTTTATTAAAATTTTGTAAAATTTTAACTACAGCTAGTTTAAAACATACATTCGACTATCTAGTGGTTAATCATGTGCCTACCCTGCTCTATAACTAAATTTAGGCGCTAACACATAGAGGTTGCTAAATTATAGCATAATGGTTTGTCAATTTGATACCATTTATCTTTGATAATTGAACAAAACTCTTATTGAAGATGGTTTCTTTTGCCTGAACCAAGGAATTCACCTTTTTTTCAACCTTTTTCTTCATAATTGCCCAGAGATTCTCAATCGGGTTGAGGTCTGGGGAGGAGGAAGGCCAATCGAGAACTTTTGAGCACTGGGCTTGTAAAAGAACCTTCGTTGCTTTGGCAGTATATTTAGGATCGTTATCTTGTTGAAATGTCCAATTGTTTCCCAGAACCTCAGATGCTTGGTCAAACAAATAGTTTGTCAAAATCTCACAGTATTGTTCACCATTCATAATACATATAAATGCATGAAAACCAACAATTCCTTTTTCACAAAATGCACCCCAAACATGAACCTTAAACGGGTGCTTCACAACCACTCGTGTAGGCACTGGTTCACCAGGCTTGTACCGAACCTTGATCATATTTCAGAACAATTAGAAAGTTGATTCATCAGAAAAAATGGTGGTATTCCGCCTTCTTCTTTAATACTTGTGTGCCCAGTAGACCCAACGGATCATAGCCTCTTTTTTGAGGAGGAGAACGGCATGAGAAACAGCAACGTGGTAACCAAGATCCTGAAGGTTCTCTCAAACTGTTCTTGGTGCAATATCTAGACTGGGTTAAGTATTGTTAAGGACTTCACTTAGTTCCTTACTTGTCGCAGTTCTGTCTTTCTTTACAATTTTGTCAAGATACTTTCTTTGTTCAGGGCCAAGAAGTCTTGAACGTCCTGAATGTTTACCTAGCTTAATATCACCTGTTTCAGAGAGTTGTGCAGTCTATCTATATAAAGTTTTTTTGTGGTAACCAGTGATTTTTTGCAAGTTTGGAACTTTTTTATAACCATGTTTCCACAAGTACTTAACCAAGATACGTCTTTCTTCAAGCAAAGTCATTCTGTGAGAAAAAAAAATTGTAATATTGCAAATTACTAATTATATTTCTGTAAATCGTATAACAATCATATTTTATACTGGTGTAATGAGATTTAAGATTTTATCACATAATTTCTAAAAAAAAAAAAAGTGTTATAATTTTCCACCACAACTGTATTTACAAATTTTATTCTTTGTTAGATTACCTCATCAAATACTATCTATGAAGCACACCGATATTCAAGGCTTCACGGTCCAGGTGCTGAATATACTAAAAACCCAATTTTTATAAGAACAACTATTTCATATGATAAATTAGATCAGCTACAAGGATTTTTAAATGACAAAAATAATGTTGTAATGAGTAGTTATAAAACAGATACTAAAACTGGATTGCCAGTAAAATATTTCAAAGATACTAAAAAAACTTTGTAGGAAAAATTTAGTTACCAATTTCCAAACAGTATTAAACATACAACTTTTATGAAACTTTTGCAAGGAAAACAATATATCTAACAAGAAAATTTTGGTGGTCTTTGCTCAACTTGTAGTCACTATGGCTACGAAGTTTTTGCCAAAATAAATCAATTTATTGAAATGAATATTCAAGACAGTAATATTCAAGTAAATAATTTATAATTACCTTATATATATATATCAGTTTTTTTTTTTTTTTGTTCTTGATCTAAATATAATTTATCAATATAAAAGAAGAATTATATCAATGAATTTGAATATTTACAGCATTATTTCAAAAGAACATATGAACAAAAATTTAAAATTACAATTCATGGAACTTTGATTCATAGTGATTGTATTAGTCACTGTCTCTTGTATAGCTTCAGTGTCTGTAAAGAAACACATATTCATGAATATAATGAATGTGGTCGATTATTTAAAGTTTTTTATCAACTAAAAGAAGATACGCCAATTACTTTACATAATGAAATAGAAGAATACCATAAGCTCCTTCTGTATTAACTTGCTTATCAAACCCAGAAAGCATATCTAAATACACAAGTAAATGCTAATTTATTAGAGTTAGATGAGAAAAGTGCACTTATAATCATAAATTATAAAATGAAAATATTACCTAAAAGTGCAAGAGGAACAAAAGAAAAATTCTTTGGTAAAAAAGGATGGACTCTTCATTCAGTGTTGGTATATACTCGCAAAATTAGTTTTTTTGAGCTTGATATTCAAGCACATGATCATTGGTCAAACGATTCATATCAAGATGCCTAGTTTAAGGTATCAAGCTTCCATGCTGTTATTGAATCAATGGAAAAAAAACCAGAATGGATCACTATTATCTTAGATAATGGAGAACATTATCATAGCAAAGACTTGATGATGATTTTAGGATATTGGCCAGACTGGTATAATATCTGGCCCAAAAGTGGATATTTCTTGAACCAGGAGAGGCAAAGACAACTATTAACAGTCATCATGCACAGGTTAGTTTTAAGTCTACAGTAAAATCTTCATAAGTACATACACGAACTCTAACTCAAGTATACATATGACCTCTATAAATATATATATTTTTTAAGTGCATATTGTTAAAGTTTAATCCCAAGAGTATACACTTATAGGTTTTACTGTATTCACCTAAAACAATATTATATTGACTTATTTTATGTTTCTTTATATTATAATAGATCGCATATGCTATTAATCGACATATAAAATTAGGATTTGATATATCATCGGGAAAAGATATTAAAAATGCAATTTCTGAAATTTGCAGAACTTCAGTAGCTCACCTAGAGCCAGAAAGAAAAAAAGGTATGTAAATTATATTGAAAATGCTACTTTGATTTTTTAAATAATTATACAATAATGAAATAAAATTTATTTATTATATAGATCTCGATAAAAAAGCAAAAAATAAATTACTTGGCATTTCAAACTGGTTCTAATGGTCATGGCCAATCATGAGGGAGTATGCTAGTTGTATTCGGGCAAGAGATATTGCAAATATTGTTGTCTGGACAACCTTTTATCCAAGAGATTTAGAAAAATTACAATTGAAACTAATCAAAAAACCAAATCCAGATATATCTATGTCTTCAATACCTAAAAATTCTTGGATGATTTCATTACCTAATGATACAGGTTCTATAAATTCTTGTCTTACTTCATAGTAATTGATGAAACGTAATTGATTCTAAAATGCTTTATAGATATCCATGTAAAAAGATTGAAGAAAGAAAATATAAAAGAACAACTAGAAACTCATAGCTTTCTAAAAGATATGAATATGAACAGAAAAGAATTAGTAAGGGAGTTGGAATTGGCATTAGCTAAAGAAACTTTAGAAAAAACACTAGATATATAAATACATTATATAAAATCTAAATAAATTTATAAATTCAACTTACTCTACTATTAGCCTTGGAAAACTTAGAATATAATTCAATTTCACTACTTTCAAGCCATGTTCAAAATTTACCTGAAAACGAAAAGTCAGATGAAGATAGTAATGTTAGGCATGTATATGCATATATTGTTTGTTCATTATATTGTTAAACAAAAGTTTCAGAAGATTCTAATTATGTTTTAACCTCAAGTAAAAATCAATACTTACAATGCAAGAATAATAGTTCTTAAGTAATAAATGTGCAAAATAAAACTCTGAAAAAAAAAACCCCCATTGAAAAATGCAAGGTGCTGAAAATAAAACAATTTTGAATTCAAGGTATGCAATTGCTAATTTGTATGACCAA